AGATGTCAGGGGAGTGTACATTTATTTACTAGATAGATGTCGGGGGAGTGTACATTTATTTACTGGATAGATGTCGGGGGAGTGTACATTTATTTACTGGATAGATGTCGGGGGAGTGTACATTTATTTACTGGATAGTGTACATTTATTTACTGGATAGATGTCCAGTGAGTGTACATTTATTTACTCGATAGATGTCGGGGGAGTGTACATTTATTTACTCGATAGATGTCGGGGGAGTGTACATTTATTTACTGGATAGATGTCGGGGGAGTTACTGGATAGATGTCGGGGGAGTGTACATTTATTTACTGGATAGATGTCAGGGGAGTGTACATTTATTTACTGGATAGATGTCGGGGAAGTGTACATTTATTTACTGGATAGATGTCGGGGGAGTGTACATTTATTTACTGGATAGATGTCGGGGGAGTGTACATTTATTTACTGGATAGATGTCGGGGGAGTGTACATTTATTTACTGGATAGATGTCGGGGGAGTGTACATTTATTTACTGGATAGATGTCGGGGGAGTGTACATTTATTTACTGGATAGATGTCGGGGGAGTGTACATTTATTTACTGGATAGATGTCGGGGAGTGTACATTTATTTACTGGATAGATGTCGGGGAGTGTACATTTATTTACTGGATAGATGTCGGGGGAGTGTACATTTATTTACTGGATAGATGTCAGGGGAGTGTACATTTATTTACTGGATAGATGTCGGGGGAGTGTACATTTATTTACTGGATAGATGTCGGGGAGTGTACATTTATTTACTGGATAGATAGATGTCGGGGAGTGTACATTTATTTACTGGGTAGATGTCGGGGGAGTGTACATTTATTTACTGGATAGATGTCGGGGAGTGTACATTTATTTACTGGTCGGGGAGTGTACATTTATAGATGTGGATAGATGGGGGAGTGTACATTTATTTACTGGATAGATGTAGATGTCATTTATTTACTGGATAGATGTCGGGGGAGTGTACATTTATTTACTGGATAGATGTACATTTATTTACTGGATAGACTGGATGTCGGGGGAGTGTACATTTATTTACTGGATAGATGTCGGGGGAGTGTACATTTATTTACTGGATTTATTACATTTATTTACTGGATAGATGTCGGGGGAGTGTACATTTATTTACTGGATAGATGTCGGGGGAGTGTACATTTATTTACTGGATAGATGTCGGGGGAGTGTACATTTATTTACTGGATAGATGTCAGGGGAGTGTACATTTATTTACTGGATAGATGTCCAGTGAGTGTACATTTATTTACTGGATAGATGTCGGGGGAGTGTACATTTATTTACTGGATAGATGTCGGGGGAGTGTACATTTATTTACTGGATAGATGTCAGGGGAGTGTACATTTATTTACTGGATAGATGTCAGGGGAGTGTACATTTATTTACTGGATAGATGTCGGGGGAGTGTACATTTATTTACTCGATAGATGTCGGGGAAGTGTACATTTATTTACTCGATAGATGTCGGGGAAGTGTACATTTATTTACTGGATAGATGTCGGGGAAGTGTACATTTATTTACTGGATAGATGTCGGGGGAGTGTACATTTATTTACTGGATAGATGTCGGGGGAGTGTACATTTATTTACTGGATAGATGTCGGGGGAGTGTACATTTATTTACTGGATAGATGTCGGGGGAGTGTACATTTATTTACTGGATAGATGTCGGGGGAGTGTACATTTATTTACTGGATAGATGTCGGGGGAGTGTACATTTATTTACTGGATAGATGTCGGGGGAGTGTACATTTATTTACTGGATAGATGTCGGGGGAGTGTACATTTATTTACTGGATAGATGTCGGGGGGGGGAGTGTACATTTATTTACTGGATAGATGTCGGGGAGTGTACATTTATTTACTGGATAGATGTCGGGGGAGTGTACATTTATTTACTGGATAGATGTCCGTACATTTATTTACTGGATAGATGTCGGGGGAGTGTACATTTATTTACTGGATAGATGTCGGGGGAGTGTACATTTATTTACTGGATAGATGTCGTGGAGTGTACATTTATTTACTGGATAGATGTCGGGGGAGTGTACATTTATTTACTGGATAGATGTCGGGGGAGTGTACATTTATTTACTGGATAGAGAGTGTACATTTATTTACTGGATAGATGGGGAGTGTACATTTATTTACTGGATAGATGTCGGGGGAGTGTACATTTATTTACTGGATAGATGTTGGGGGAGTGTACATTTATTTACTGGATAGATGTCGGGGGAGTGTACATTTATTTACTGGATAGATGTCAGGGGAGTGTACATTTATTTACTGGATAGATGTCGGGGGAGTGTACATTTATTTACTGGATAGATGTCGGGGGAGTGTACATTTATTTACGATGTTGGGGGAGTGTACATTTATTTACTGGATAGATGTCGGGGGAGTGTACATTTATTTACTGGATAGATGTCGGGGGAGTGTACATTTATTTACTGGATAGATGTCGGGGAGTGTACATTTATTTACTGGATAGATGTCAGGGGAGTGTACATTTATTTACTGGATACAGATGTCGTGGAGTGTACATTTATTTACTGGATAGATGTCAGGGGAGTGTACATTTATTTACTGGATAGATGTCGGGGAGTGTACATTTATTTACTGGATAGATGTCGGGGGAGTGTACGTGTATTTACTGGATAAATGTCGGGGAGTGTACATTTATTTACAGGATAGATGTCGCGGGAGTGTACATTTATTTACTGGATAGATGTCGGGGAGTGTACATTTATTTACTGGATAGATGTCGGGGAGTGTACATTTATTTACTGGATAGATGTCGGGGGAGTGTACATTTATTTACTGGATAGATGTCGGGGGAGTGTACATTTATTTACTGGATAGATGTCGGGGGAGTGTACATTTATTTACTGGATAGATGTCGGGGGAGTGTACATTTATTTACTGGATAAATGTAAGATGGAAGTTAATTTATTTACTCGGTAGATTTCGGAGGGGGGTCCAGTAATTTATTATTATCATCATATTACCATAAATATACTCGCTAGATTTCGAAGGAGGATGACGATAAAACGAAAAAGAGTGAAGACTATGGACAGAGTTTATCAAAAGTGAAATGGTTTACTTTTCTATACCAAATATATCCCGAGTATCGTTCCACAGATCCCGAAGTTACAAAATTACCATACGCTAACCCTCTAATTTCACCTGAATCCACACAATTATTGTATCTTGAGGGAGCAGCATATTATGCATCTAACTTTAGGATATTCTTTAAAAGAAAGAAAGAAAGAAAGAAAGAAAGAAATATAGAAAACTTATCCTTGAATGACAACAGAATGGTCTTAATCGGCATTTCTCCACGTTACACAATCATAGACTCAACGGACAACACGGTGTCGAAATAATACAATATGAAAGACATCGATCACATTATTGAAAAGAGGAATTGTGGTTGTTTGTTCTCAGTATATTGGTGTTTATCATCCGTAGTGTTTTGTATCTCATTCCTCACAAAGGCATAAATAATGTCGCTCTAGAATCTTGGACTTGTTAGCCCTTTGAAATATTATAATGTGGCTTGATGGATCGAAATATTATAATGTGGCTTGGTGGATTATTTCCTGCTTCCGTAGACAAGTTCTGATATTTCAGTGTGACAACGCTATAAAAGCGCCCGTTGGTGTCCCTGTCGTCTGTGGACACTGTCGCCACATTATCTTGGCTGTTGCGTCAAATAAACGACTTGCTCATTACATTTCCCATGTTGTTTTGTATATCTTATTTATCTTACTGGTTTATACGTCTGTACTATCGATACTGTCTTATACATTGTATAATCAACAATGTGTTGTATATTATAGTATTTTCCATATTGATAATGTCATTAGCTTTGTCGGATTGCTTGTATATATAGATATATATGAAGCTAATTAATTAAGAAACAATTGATTAAACAAAATGTATTGTATTATGTACATCTCTTTCTCTATGTTTTGTATACGCCATACTGTAAAATATCTCCTTTTTGTTGACTGATGGGCCGGAAGTTCAACAGTAATAAAGGAATTCAATTAAAGAAGAATTTAAAACGATTTATTCTTAATGTATCTTATTTTTACAACCGTTCTTTTAAAAAAAAGTTTACCAATTTCGTTCTTTTCGATTTTTTTTTCTTAGAGAAACGCAAAGCTAATAAGCCCATTGTTTCTATTTCGGTTTACCGGGACTATAGTGACACTTCCAGTATACATTCCGTTTGATTTTCAAAAAAAAATACAAGTTTGAAATATCGATAAAATATATCATATTCAACACAACTGTTTAAAAATGAAACCGAAAAGGGCCCGGCTAACACAAGCAAATTCTACTCCTATACTGTTCATACTTGGCTAAACACTTTTAAAAGGAAACGGCGCTAAGACTTAAACAATATAATGTGTATGAGATTTCCTTAAAGAGACAATTTAGTGCGGTTATGTTTACCGTAGTCGAATTCATGACTTTATTGTAATACGTAAGTCGACTAAATTTCCCCTTCAACAAACTGTCATGTTTGACCATCAGAAGACTGACCAGTAATAGAGTGATCAATTGGCCGTTGGATTGGTTCCCGTGGTGATACATTCCTTACACAATACAGCCACATTGTGATTAATATTAACGCTAATCCCCTGCCCATCTAATAACGTTCATTCAATAATTGGAAATGATTGTAATGCGTGGAGAGAAGGTCAGAGGTTAAACTCCACCCAATAGAAACATACTGTAAACCACCCAGAGGATGGCTCGGCCAATCATACGCCAGCTTTGTCATTGTCATGGGTTGCTCAACACGCACGCGATTGGGAAGGTGATAGTATTTTGACAAGAGTTGTCGGGGAGACTAATATCTTAGTGGGGAGGTCGCACGACTCCATAGTCCGGAATCGTCATCAGTAACATCGACGCAAAACTGAAAAAAGGAGGGTTGGGATGAGCGCGACCATTACTCCGCAGTTGCTGCACAGTAAGTCAAATTATAAGTCAATGTTATAAAAATGTATTAATCTATTATCAAACTATTGATTTAATTTTCGTACCTATTATATTGCACTATGGGTGAGATTTGACGATTAATTATGGTTAAAAACACGGATTTTACACTTTCACGAATTTATAGATAAAAACTCTGCAACCTGGTGCTTTGTTATCTGATACAAATCGTCATACAGATTCCTCGCGAGGGGTTGGATCAGAATGAAAAAAATAATATTCAATATTTGTAAAATGCAACTATGAAAGAAAAAAAAATGTGTAAAATGAAAATTGTATAATTTTACCCAGAAATACGTTTTATCGATATTTATCATTATGAAGCAGAACACAAGTTATCAGATCTACTATACTGCCCTAAAATAACATGTACAAATAAGGCAGAAAATGGACGCGTGCGTTAGAAGTTATAGAAGAAGTAAGGTTATATCCCTGTGTTTAAATAAGCACATAAAAAGGCCCGAGAATGCAGTTGACCTGGTCTGACTGAGTGGTTATCCAACAGCACGTGCAAAGATCGAAGATCATGCTCCTACCAAAAACAAATCACCTGCATGTACATATAAAAAATGACACGTGATAACAGGACAAAAAAGGTTCACGTGCAGTCGTGTGACTGCACGTGGAATCACGTGAGCGATGAGTAGTGGTCAGTAGGATCTGTAGGTGAAACTCGTTCATCTAAAGCTGAATACACTATCTCGTTTTAATATAGTGGAAATATATTTACAAGAACAAAAAATGTAGCTGTCGATTTTCTATTGCAAGTCTTTGATCTATATTGAATGTTATCATAATGACACGGGGAGGTAGGATGAATTCTCTGATTTTCAAATGTGACTGCGAAATTAACAATGTCCAGTTCATGTCTGCATCACATTTCTCGCTAAAGAAAAAATATCGGAATATGCATTTGTATACTGACGCATCTGTTTGTTTGTTTGTTTGTTTTATTATTATTATTATTTAAACATATTTTATTATCAGTAGTAAACAAGTATCAGAGACAAGTTCTAGGAACTTATGAACTAACCTTCATAAATGAAATTACAAATAGTTAATACTGTAAATATGAAGATAAGTAATTCGTAGACGTACAATTGTAAGTTTAAATCATTTTGTCAAAATGATGAAAAGATGAGATGATAGGATAGAAAGAAAAGAAGAGAAAAAGACATAATATACTTTTTTTCTCTCTATCGAAAAAAACGAAAGCATATCTCCAACAGGATCGTCCTATATTTTCCCCGATAAAAAGTAGTTTTTATAAAGACATAATCACATTCACTATGTATAATACATAAGACTTTACTACATGTCCCTTAGTCACAAGAAGGTCTGTGAAAAACATTATGAATCATCAATATTTAATCAGTGTCTTTGAGATAACAGAATTATTTCGTTTCGGTTTATGTACGAATGCTGTAACAATAATATTCAAACAATAAACTTATGTATCCACGTTCGTGCTAAAACGACTTTTAACCTCGAATATTGTTGATTATTTTGTTTTCTTTTAAATCATTGATTCGCCAATTATCTTAAAAGTACAGTTAAGGGGAAGAAAGGCAGGTGTACCTATATGTCACCTGTCGGCTTTCACTCTACTTCAGGTTACCACAGGTAACCAATTGTTTGTCCTCGCTACCTGACCCGGATTATCTCCCTTGAAATATGTACAAAAGGAGCATGTAGTTGTAGTGATATTTGCCCCTAAAAAGGGATTATGTCTTGATGAGGATCAGAGGGCTATGACACCTGTATATTACCTGTTAATGACACACCTGATCGCTGTGATAACACTGTACTCACCTGGACGGCTTTACCTATCCCAGATAGGGACATGTTTTCACTTTTACGTCACTATACAAACAAAATGTGTCTTGTGACACTCTTTGCTATCATATTAAAAAAACGAAGAATGTGATATTGTTCTTAATGCATTGAAAGTTTTCCCTTCATGTAAAACACAGTTTTAAAGTCACTACACGGGTCCCTTTATTACTGACAGTACATGTGTATGCACTTTTCCTAATACACTATAAATGTTAATACTTAAACCTACTATATGAAATTTCGGCTTAAACATTGATAATAATGTTATCTCTCTCTCTCTCTCGTAAATTCATAAATTTATAATCTTTAATTAATTAAGCTGCATGTACTGCTAAACATGATCAATTAATTGTTTAATCTCGTCATATTTAACATCCTAATGTTTAATCATATGACTATTATTATTTCATAATTGAATATCTGTATGAAGGGAGAGGTCAATTATAAGTTGATACAACATACTCACCAAATCTGTTGACATTCTAATATGACAATAAAATATGTTTAAACTTATTTTCATCATTACGCGATAATATGCGCGGCCTCATCACATGTTTTGTAAACAAGAAAATGTATAAGAATGATCGAGACGTATCATGAATGACATGTCTAGGCGAATTTGATAAAGATACCTCACCCAGTTGTATCAATATTGCTTTACAACGTCATATAAACTCGAGTATTTTACGTAATGTATCATACCATACAAATTAAACAGATATCATTTTGTAAAAGTTTGATATATCTTTATACCTATATTACCTTTCATGTCGATTACATAAAGTGTCTCTATATATACACTACACAACAGTATGCGAGTTTGTGGGTATAATATTTAATATCAAATATAAAATGAAATAATATTCTCTTTATTTAAACTAAATTGATTTGACAATAAATATTGATTTTATAAAATAAAATAGTATTTCCTTTATTTAAACTTAATTGATTTGACAATAAAGATTGGTTTTATAAAATAATATAATATTTTCTTTATCTATAATTAATTGATTTGACAATAAATATATTTTCTCATTCTTTACCTTATAATTATTATAATTTCAGCAGAAATCAATAATTTTCTTCGGAAATCGATTTTAATAGGTCTCATCTCTTCTATCGTCCGCGTGATGATAAAGCAAATTGCTCATCAGTTTTAAATGAAGTGAAACGTACATTAGCAAGATATCCCTCTTTTTCACGATTAATCTCAACTATAAAATATAATTATCTACATTGATAAACATGTTATATACCTATATAATTGACCAGAATTCTCCTGTATCTATGTATGTAAATAGTATAATGTTCAGCATCACTAGTTTTGTTCATAAATGAATAAATTCTGACCCATGATTAATAACAATAATAAATAATTCGAAAAAAGGCAAATAGATAAAGACACACGAAAAATATGTAATGTATCGTTAAGTACGTATTTACATTTTGTCACCAATAACTTGTTGAGTTGCATTACCTTCGCCTAAGCTGTACATAGAAGGATAAAAATACCTTTTATTTGTTAAATATGACATCATAAACTTATGTTAAGACAACTTCACTCAAGTTGTCACCACCGGTAACCTGACGTAATATTGATGACGTAGGATTATCAATTTTAATCTACCTGTAGTAATACCGTAACAATACATTCAATTGTTTACCAGACCTCACGTTGACCAAACACGGACACGCGGCGTGGACTTGTTTGTTTACAAGATCGAATGAACTTCAATGCGGTTCATTAACGTAAAAAAGGGAGATCAGTTGAATTATCTCCCCTTTTAACCCGTTGGCGTCCTTAAGTTAAAGTAAGCTGACCTCTCGATGCGGTTACAATGTCGGTGGGGTGGGTAGGGTTTAATGATCTTACGACGCAGAATTATGAACACATTTCAATGCAATATTACATACATATTACAAATAGTATTATTGCGAGTCCTCACATTAGGAAACTCCTGTACAAACATGTACGGGACATACTGGTAGTGTAGGAACAGAGATTACACAAAGACATATCTAATTGTATTGCCTCGATGTAACCTACCGATAAAATCACGATGTTAGGAGGTTGTAAAATCTCCGGAGAAAATCCTGCTGGTCGCAACCGTAAAATTCATGCAGTCGATTCAATTATTCTTATGTTGTATTTTGATAAAGTAATTTTCCCTTACGTCATATCTTATATAAAATGATACGTATATCACTCTTTAGTATTCTCTGTAAATGTTATAGTCTATTTTTAGAAGTAAAATTGAAAAGTTTCACAAAATGCAAGTCATCGCCGATTTTTATTTCCAGAATTGATTAAGGAAATATATATGAGATATTTCAGGTAATTTTCCGTTTAAGAAATAAAGTGTCATTTTACGCAAATTCAAAGTACAATGTATCAGATAATAAAAAATAAACGGTTGTGAAATATATAAGATTATACATAAATCATACAAATAATAAAATCATATATACCTTGTGCGCTATATAAGATTGTATCAGATTATTTACAGCTAAAATATCGTCATTGTATAATGTATCACACTATTCTGGGGTAAAATTGATATACCGTACAATGTATCAAATTATTTATAACTAAAATAAATGCGTTGTACACAAAATATTTACTGCTAAAATAAACACATTGTACACAATGTGTCAAATCATTTATAACTAAAATAAATACATTGTACACAAAATATTTACTGCTAAAATAAACACATTGTACACAATGTATCATATTATTTATAACTAAAATAAATACACTGTACGATGTATCAAATTTATTTACTACTGAAATAAATACATTGTACAATGTATCAAATTATTTACTAATGAAATAAATACATTGTACAATGTATCAAATTATTTACTAATGAAATAAATACATTGTACAATGTATCAAATTATTTACTACTGAAATAAATACATTGTAAATATACAAGACATATCACACTGAGTTATCATTGCTCAACTTTGACATACATTTGTAAAATGAAATCATGATCGAAATTAGGAAATTTCTGTCAGAAACGGGATCATTCTAGACAATTAATACGAAAATATAATGAACTTGTCCAGAAAGAAGGACATGAAAATATTTCTAAACGGACAAATTAAACATTGCTTTTTATTGATAAATTAAAATAGGTTTCAAACGGACCAACAAAATACATCACTTCATTGACATATGTGAATTTTCATGAGTTTTTATTTTTGCATATTCAATTCAGCACAAACCAATTAAAATAACCACATTTATAGTGTTTCCAGACTTTTTAACATGTTTATATGTGATATCAACATTACACGTTGCAACTGCAACAACAAACAAAGTTGCACCCTTGTTTGTAACCGAAATAACGATGATTATAATACATCAACTTTGTGATGATACGTGCTCACGTGACAGGTTCAGGAAGTCGGTTATCCTTGTATCAGAGGTCGATCAATCCCAGACTGACCTCTACACTGTGTCTGGTTCTGTATCTCTCTGATCTCTGATCACACTTATACACTTGGCTGATATACTTCAGTCCAAAGATTACCTTAGAATGTACATATCGATCCTTTTTGTATAATTTAGAATGAATACACTACATGTAAAATTTCAATTCTTCATTTGCTTAACTTTACAATAAATCTAAACATTCGTCGCTTTCGTGACATTCAAATGCAACATATGCAAGTTTCTGTTTAAAATTTATGCAAACACAACCATCCTTTTATCAAGTTGAAATTCAATTTAATTTACTATTTGAGTTAGTTTATTTCTTTTTTTTTTTAATAAACAACATTTCAGACATTACTTGCTCATACAGAAGTGAACACAATTTCTTTATTTATGCTTTAATTACCAATTATCTTCCTTTGTGTTTTCGACCCAGAATTTCTAAATGAATGCTTTTCCTGAATAACACGCCTTCCTAATAATAACGGAAAAATCTTCAACTTCTAAAACAACTTTATGTTGCGAAACTCTCTTCTCCTGTAGGCCCATCACTTCAGCGGCTGAGTTTGAGATTTCTGAAATATGTTAACATATATGGATATAATTTTAACTTGTCAGTAATCGTTGTCATAAATGTATGTAAATATGTATTTATTTACGCAGAATTTCCTCTCAAACAAAAAACCGTTAACTCTATCCTACCAGAATATTATCACTAAATTTCCGTTAACTTGAATGAAACGTAAAATGAAAACTAGTCACGGAAAAAAACTTGATTGTAATTCACCGTAATAACTGTTTATAGGGTAACACATGGATTGTAAGATGGTTTCTTATCTCCATGTAGATGTTTTATGTAATATAAGTCGGGTCTAGTTATATTATATATCTTTTTTGTTGAAAATTGAAGATTCTATTCTATTTTTACAAAAGCATGTTGATGCCTCGATGTAAACGAACCAGAAATAATTAAGTAATTAAGGATACGACAAATGCACGTGGCCACCACAACGTCATTCATGTGGAAATGAAAAGGGTGACGGTTCGTCATCAACATGTCTGTGCCACAAGGCGGATTTTTAGTTTAGTAGGTAAACTGAAAATAAACATTTAATTGTCTTGTTAAGGAATTTACGACAAGAGCTTTGCAGACACATACTATATTCTAATTGATGATGTTTACCTGCATAGCTCCTGTCATTTATTACAACCATAAACGCCATATCCCGGCAGATATAGATTTTCAGTTAAATTTTTCCCAAACATAAATTATTATTTCACAAATGGCCGTTGATCCTGGTGGTTGCAAATCTGTCAACTAAAATAAACAGGTAACAGGGCATTTGAGGCAATCATGTGTTATACAATTACTGAACAGAAAACAGCATCAGCAACAACTACACACTCGTCAACTAAAATAACAACAACAATGATAACTATCAGGTCTTGTCAGTGCTGTGGTAGCTGATACTGTGTAGACTGTCTGGTCACGGTTATCTATACGATCAAGGACATTAAGAGAAGGTCAGGACACTTCAGTGGTCACAGACATGCACTAGTTCACCAAACATCACACGGAATACCCCAACATCAACACTGTTTGAACTAATGTGATCGTAGTCATGATCGAAGTTATATCAGAAAAATGTGAGTTTCTTTATTCTTTTCATTTATTTCTGATAATGCATCATTTTATAAGCAAACTGTTTCCATTTTATTGTGCGGTCGATTATTTAAAAACATGTTTTAAATATTTTGATTACGAAGATGGACATAATGGCCATTAGGCTAGGATACACAGACAACATTACCAGTCTCCGGTGTTACTAATGATGACTGGAAAACCGATGGTGACACATGTTCACATTCATTTGCAACTTTTTGCTTCTTAATTGGAAGTTTTGTCTTCTTATATAGAGCTATGTTTTAAAGAGTAGGAATATTTCTCATTCATATTCTACAGACCACAGTTCCACAAGTCGTAAACCGGAAGTGATGTGTTTGGTGTGTGGCGACAAAGCTTCCGGCAAGCATTATGGCGTTCAGAGCTGTGACGGTTGCCGGGGATTCTTTAAGCGTAGTATCCGTCGAAATCTGGAATATGTTTGTAAGGAGAACGGCAACTGTGTCGTGGATGTGGCCAGGCGAAACCAGTGTCAAGCGTGTCGCTTCAAAAAGTGTCTGGATGTTAAGATGAACAAAGATGGTGAGTGGTCGATATTTGGTATCTCAGCAATAAATATTTGGGTTTTTAATAATGTGCTGTTTGTAATTAATATCATCCCAAATATTTCCAGAAATTTTGTTGAAAATGCTTTGGTCGCCAAATGATTTGCCGAACTTTTTTTCCGGGAGATCGATTGTTGAAAAAATTGATTGAAATATGGACAAAGGTTGCCGAGTATTACTGGTAATCGATGTCACTACTGGTAATCCCCGCAATGTAGCTCTGTAGTTTTCTCAAATTTGCTTTTTTATTTCATAACAGAACATCGATTGACCTCACCACGATATCTAATACCATACCTATAGAGGTATGATGGGCCGTGAGAGAGAGAGAGAGAGAAAGAGGGGTGGGGGTGGGAGAGTAAGGGGAGCGGGGGGGGGGGGGGGGGGTATACGACTACATACAAATTGACTTCTAGCAAGATATAATTTAATTGAATTCGGAAACAGCTGACAATAGGCTGGTGTCTGTGCGTGCATTATACGTCGGAGACCAAATCTGATGCTGGATAGTCGAGTCCAATGCTAACATTTAACACATACAAATTAACAAAAGTTGCACTCGAAGTTAGCGGTATACCTGTGTACAGCACCTGGGACTTCCCAGTCAACCTAGAACACAACTAGTGTTAAAAAAGGCCAGTCGAAGAGTCGGTTTACTATACAAACATATCATATCTGACTGCGCTCTAATGAGGCACCAGTGAGTAAATTTACAAACTTCTCGAAAATAGTTACGGACGTGGCGCGTGTCGGATCGTCTTACTTCTGTGGTCAATATAGAGCTCAGGGGATCAGATCGAAATGTTGCATACGATACGGACATTTTAATTGTTTGCTATATTAAAAAACGGACTAAGCAAAAATATGTACAACTTTCTTTTCAATTGTCAATAAATTTGTTTAATTTTATAATAAACTCTCCGGATTAACTTTGACAGGCCACGTGACATGTCATCCAAACGACATATAAGTGGTCGCGTTCGATCTCTACCCCTCCGCCCATCATTTTTAGAGGTAAACGGAGCCTAATGAGGTAATCCATCAATCTCTCTGGGTACTTCATACCTACGACAAGTATCGACCCTGCGCCCACCTGCTATTTTGCCATATCAATTGTCGCTGTCGCGTGCCTGTCGCGAGCGCTAGCATCAAGTCGATGACTGAGGTACACAGATTAGGACATGAAGGATGACCGTAATGTTTGCACGTTATCCAGTGATCGCTATGTTGATGACATCATTAATCTCTACCGTATATACACCAGCACACTCCCGAGTTTACCTTTGACTTTATGACTTGACGTGGCCGGTATAAATTTTTGTTTACTCTGAACTAACTCTCTCTGACAAGTATCATTAACGGTACAAAGGTATTAAAACAGGTGGACGGGTTCAGCTTCTTGGGATATATCCAACTAAATCATTATTACCCACAACAAAGGTCTCTGACCTAACCTATATTGTCTATCAGACTTTTGGTCCACCTGGATTAGCACCAGTTGGATTGTTATAGAAGAAGGGGGCGTTTTGAGAGGGATAAACGTAGAAGGAGAAGGGCGCTTTTTGAGAGAGTTACAAGTAGAAGAAGGGGGCGTTTTGAGTGAGATACAGATAGAAAGAGAAGGGGGCATTTCGAAAGAGATACAGGTAGGAGAATGGGGGCATTTTGAGAGAGATACAGGCAGAAGGAGAATGGAGACATTTTGAGCGAGATGCAGGTAGAAGGAGAATGGGGGGTGGGGGGGGGGGGGGTTGTCATTTCGAGACATGTACAGGTAGAAGGGGAACGGGGGCATTTCGAAAGATATATAGGTAGGAGAATTGGGGAGACGTTTTGAGAGAGATACAGGTAGGATGAGAATAGGCGTTTTGTGGTCGTCACAATGATCTTGTACATGTTTGAGAACTTATCATTATTTACCCGGATCAAAGATCAGTACTCTTCCGGAACCCTCTAGTTCTTTATCTGTCTTCATGTAAATATTCCCTTTGTTAATATTTGGCCCTCGTTTCATCGAAGCCTATATTGAATTAAGATTCCGCTGATATACCACTTTTTATTCATGGTATTTTTTCCGTCTGCTGTAGCCGTCCAACACGAGAGGGCGCCGCGGTGTTACCAGTACAAAAGGGACAATGAGGAAGGAGAGGATAACAAACCACACATGTTCCACCGTCTTGGAGAGTTCTTCGAGAGGTCAAAGTAGGTATCAGACTGTTTGTTACCTATGCAGACAATTCAGCTATTGTATCGCGGGAAGCATCCTTGATAGTTCGGGGGTTAAGATCACTTTAGCTCTCTGCACCCCTGGAACAGTTCATGACAGAACTGAAGACATAAGCAAAGTAATTTGATTGGTCTAGAACGTATTTCAGGAGAAACAAACGGACCATTCACTGATACGCTTCTTTGAATATTACAAAGGAACGACAGCTGAAAAGCCAGCACTACATGTCGTTATGTGCTCTCGAGATTTGTTTGATGTATATCAAAGATTGAAACTAGTCTTCTCGTCTTGTCTGCAAAGGTGTCGCACATGGAACCTTCAATTTTGCAATGAGAGCGAAAGTGATCGTAACCCCAGGATTGTTGAGAATGCACAGGGATGAGATATACCTCAATTTCTTTTCAATTTGGTCATTATTTAGTGATAAAAATATTCCATCGCGACTTTACCTATCCTTACTTTTGCTGCAGACAATACCCTCCGTTTCAACAGTATCCACATGCTCCAGTTGCCATGACAGCAGATTACAACCACCCACACACGCCCAGCCATGGTTTCCCCACTCTACCGTTACACGTCACTGATCACAGATTTCCCGGAATGTATGTTCCTAACCTCGTTCCGAATGCCAATCTCACGATCCGCTACAGCTGCGGAACTAGTGACGGTGGAAGTAGTGGGTCATCCAGCAATTCGCCCCTGTCTAATGATGACTTCAATCGGAACTGCAGTCGTTCTCCATCCCCAATTGGAAACGGAAACGACCGAATTTCACCGGAGAGCAACGGGCGCATCACTCCACAGAACGACATGATCAAAGGCGAGAAAGGTATGCAATTTTGATTGAACATATTTACATGAAAACGTTTCTATCTGAAATGTAAAGACTTTTGATGAACAGATTAATTTGATATTTGGCATAGACTTTTATCTGATAAAAGATTTAATTTGTTTTAAAAAATGCTTTTCGCTTGTTTCTCTTTTGTACAATCTCTTTAGCGATTTCCGTTACAAACGGTTCTATCTTTTTTCTTGTATTGTAGAAGATTCATCGATCATTAAGGGTTGTGAAAGTCCAAGAGTTTCATCAACAGTTATGACGTCACCACCACAAACGACAAAGGTTCAGCCAATCCCAATACCTGGTGTCTACGGCAATAGTGTAAGCTCGGAAGGATCACGATTTCATGTTTCAAACCAACATCCATATTTCCCTCGTTTCCCTGACCCAAATATATCTACAACAAACATCAACTCCAACACGGAAAATTTGTTCGAAACAGCGGCTAGACTACTATTTATGTCTGTAAAATGGGCAAGGAACATTCCATCATTTCTGCAACTTCCGTTCCGAGACCAAGCCATTCTACTGGAGGAATCCTGGAGCGAATTGTTTGTTCTTAGCGCCGCTCAGTGGTCGCTTCCAATTGACATAGGTAGGTTTCTATGTAGTAAATCTCACAATTGAGTATTACTCCAAATCTGCAGAGTTATAGAACTTTTAAAACCTATTTTATTTATAACAAATTAAATGTAGGACAGCATGGAGTAAAAGTCTAAAGCATCTCCCGTTTACTTTCAGCAACGTTGCTTGCGCCTGGGTCGTTACACCTCGACTCACACATAGGAGAGAAGCATGCCATCATGGCAGCAAACCTTCGCATTCTCAATGATGTCATTTCTAGACTGAATTCACTGAGGGTTGATTCCACAGAGTACGCTTGTCTGAAAGCATTGGTTCTCTTCAAATCAGGTGAGTACACAGCGCGCGCAATTGGCTTCCGTTTCCGGCAACAAATGATTTGATGATATTAATGAATATTTCTATACATGTTATTTGTTAATAGACGATGAAACGCCTTTCCCTTGTGTCTGATAGATTTCTTATTTTTGCAAACATACTTTGATACTCTGTTATCATATCTTGTTGGTTCCATTGTAGAGTCACGTGGCTTGCGAGATTACATTCATGTTGAGACGTTGCAAGACCAGGCCCAACTTATGCTTCATGAGTACACTGTCACACACCAACCGAACAATAAAGTCCGTTTTGGAAAACTCCTTCTCATGCTTCCAGCCCTTCGCACAGTCAATTCACGAGCACTTGAAGACATATTTTTCCGGAGAACAATTGGGAACGTACCGATTGAGAGATTATTGTGTGACATGTTCAAGTCTAGTTAATTTCATTGTAGAACCAGGGGAAAAGACTCCTTGAGCGACAGGGTCATTGTCACATGTAATGTGAATGAAAATTGAAGTGGGATGGGATGGGGAGGTATTGTGTTAGCTAAGCTAATGATATTGTTGAACATTTTATTTAAAACAGGAAAGAAAAAAAAATTGTTTCATGGGTTGCTTCTAATTAAACAATATATACGTGTTACTTTATTGTGATCTGTGACTGGTAAATAAGTACACGTTTATATCAATTAAAAACCGACAAATCATGTTCAGATATGAAATGTGTGAGCGAAACATTTTTGTATATTCAGCTATCTTTTTACTCTATAAGTAGCCCAATTTTTGCAGCGATTGATTGTTTTTTGATGTTCGTGTGATTTTTACTGGATAAGGAATAGAATCTCACATGATTGCAGCTTATGTGTTTGTTCACTGTTTGTTTTGTGTGGAATTTGTTAAAGATAATTTGTTATTAATGCTTCAAAGTATTGCAATATATACAATATATAATGTAACTGATTCATATGACAGATTTTATTTTTGCTCATTGTCGTAATAAATAAACCAAATTTGTGAGTGTAAGAACTATTATCCATGTTTTATTCAAATATTATTTAAATCATTTGTAATCTAAAATCTAAAACATAACGTAGATATTTCTATCAAGTGTTTTCATAATGATTTTGCATGATAACGGACTTCTAGAATAATTACAACACTTCATCACAATATTTCTAATGTTTTCTGATCAAGGTTTTATTACAACAGAGACCTACACTTAAGCCTCTACTCTCTGCAAAATTCACTGTAAATTATTACCAGGAAATCGAGAACATGCATCAGATTTCATGAATCCTTGACGATTCCTTGTACTATGTCAAACTATAAATGTTGTACATTCGCTGTATTTGTACTTCCTGGTTAGCCATCCCAGCTCCAGTGTAGACATTTGGATCAGACACCTGGATCAGACACCTGGATCAGACACTTGGATCAGACACCTGGATCAGACACCTGTCAATACATTATTTTATTGTTATATTTGTATATTGTGGAGTTCATGTTCTCTGTGTCTTGTGTAGTTTGTGTACATAGGTTTGTATATGACATGACACAATTTTCTATCACATTTTATATTTGTTATATCAAATTGTCCATTTCTTTATAATTTGATTCTATCATCTGTTCTTGATACTCTTTCCTATCTGTCATTCTCCTCCTACCTCTCTGTCTATGTCCTCTCAACACTTGTACTGATCTGTGACCTCTAAACAATTGTATTGACCTAACACTGACTCTGACTTCTAAACATGGACATCACTCTACTGTCTACTGACTGACCTCTAAACACTTGTATTGACCTAGCATTGACCTACTAACACTGATGTCACTCTACTGTCTACTGACTGACCTCTAAACACCGACATCTCTCTCCTGTCTACAGACCGACATAAAAAAAAATGACATCACTCTCCGGTTGACCGACTGTGACCTCTAAATACTGACATCACTCCTGTCTACTGACTGTGACCTCTAAACACAAATATCACTCTTGGCTAACCATTTATGTTTCACGTGCCGTGTATAATTTCAGTATGCCAGTGCCAAACAAAATACTATGTTTAGTTTTTTTTTAATTTTGTTAAACTATAAGTGAGTTTATGTCAAAACACAATTCTAGTGCAATAAAAAAATTTACATCAACCTCACAACATTTTCAAGTTTTCTTTGTACAATACAGTACGAGTTTCTTGTTCTCTTCAGATATTACATCTGTTTATTTCTTGGGTTAACTTAAGCTCATCTAGTCCAAACAAGCCCATGATTTGTCTTTGATTTAAACTACTTGGTAGATTGTGAGAGCAATCAAACTAGACTTATCTCATCATGAAATGGAGGATTCACAACAGACCAAAAGAAAGGTTTACCTCCTCTGACGATTGTAGACTTGTAGGGCAAGGAGGGAAAGACATACGGCATACCCTCTGAATATGTCATTTTCCCAGAAACTAGTGCACAGATTTCAACAATTGTTTTGAGAGGTTTTGGGTATTGAAATGTTATAGTGTATTCAGCATTCCATTCAGCATTCCACAGCTTGGAAAGGTGAGATAATCCTTCTGAAACATTTTCAACAAGAAAATCAGCAACAAAGCTCTATCGACAACCTGGAATGTTATGATGGGAATCATCTGAACTCGTCATCCTCAGAAGAAAGTTGACCAACATGCACCAGAAGCTTGAATTCGGAAACAGTGAAGGCAGGTTGAAATGGCTCCTCTGTGTTGTTCAGAGAAGTAGCCACCAGCTATTTCAATGATATCTGGTATCAAAATTACCATGGTTGCTTATGGGGTGAAAATTTTGGTTTGTACTTAAAACTTTGAGTTGCATAGCAGCTGAATAAAAGCATAAGTTATTTCTGTTGAATAAAAACATCAATGAGAATAATTCTCTAATTCACATATGAATAAAGAAAACAATGAACCTTTTGAATCTGATGTTTGATAATTTATTAGTGTGTTGGCAAGAAGCTATTTCGGATGTCACGTCTTCGCATATACTGGAGCTGGACACTGTAATATCACTAATATTGAATTCATTGAATGAAATAATGTTTAAACCAATCACATCTTACCCTCTAAGGATGCAAAATGCATTATCACTACCATTACTACTTAGCCTTAACAGGAGAGCAGTCTTGCACAAGGTTTTGTCTCTTTTTACATAGATGTGGATTTGCTTGTAATGATTATGAACGATGCTGTTTTCACAATTCAAATGTCTCCTCTTTCTTCTACTCCAAACGCATATTTGACAGACATGTTTCTGTTGAAGACATTGCCCTCTTCCCATCCCCTGTCCTTTCAAACTGTCTAAAATCTGATGGAGAACAACAGAAAAATCGAGCATTCACATGCTATCACTGTATAATAAGACTTGTCCATATCAAACTCTGCTTCTGTTGACTTCTGGCATTACCTGATTTTATTCATATGCCGACTTACACAGAATCCAGGCCAACCCTGCTCAGTTCTAAAGACTGTTGAACATATTGGAATCACATATGAACTAATTAATACCAGATTATATAATACAGACTTTGTACTCAGTTCAGGACAGTTCAGACTGATTTTACTTCAGAAGTCCTTCCCTGGTTTTAATCAGTATTGAAGAAAATGTGTTTACTATCTTTAATGAGATGTAAGAGATACATAACATCATTCCCACTTATTTTGTATTTTTGGATGTTTGTGTTACTAAGTTATGCTTTAACCTTATGGAAATACAATCTCTGTTGTTCTCAAATCCCAAACGGGTAACAAATCTATTTATAGCTATGGGTTGATACATTCACTATTTTACAATACATTTATTGTTCTCATAGATTTAATCAGAGCCGATGGTTAGATAGGATGGTCATGGTCATTTTTGTTGGTAAAGAGCTAAAATTCCTACCAGGTACTGCACATGGCAGTTTTGAGAATAGTCCCTCTGTCAAGGAAAACATAAACATAAATAATGTAGATTAAGCTTTTTCTTATTTTATTGTATTTGTTTGACATGCATTCCATAAACAATTTCCTACTATAGGTCGGAACCCAGAGTTAATGCTTTGGAGACAATCTACACCATCACATACCTCATTACCTCACTATTACAGTCTATGTAAATGTGTTACATCGATAACTCTTACTAGAAATAAATCTTACTACAAGATCATGTCTTTCCTCCAAATCTTACTGAAAATATTTTCTGTCACCCACACAACACTTAAGAAATCTTCAGAATTTGCCATGTTGTGGTAAAGAACCTTTTAACATCTTTTATGATCCGATACATGTAGGTGTATAACAACAAGGACCTGAAGTTACAGGCAACATTCCAATAGAAGTTGCGAAACCTATTCAGTTTGAAACACCAGAATTCTTTTTTCATTGATGGCATCATAATATTAACACCGAGTACTTTACATACAAGACATCCTAATTCACCAACAGCTAAAATGAAATTTTTTTTTACCTAATTGTATACACAGTACAACAGACAAGCTGTATCGTTATCTCTGGTAAAATCTATCTTTGTTAGTTAAAGTAAAATCTTCACATGTTGATACAGGGTAAAGACTATTTTCATGTTCTGGAAAGTTTTTAGAATTCTGAAATTTCTATAATAAAAAGTACAATCATGTTAAAAATAGGCTTTCTGAGGTTTTTAATGACAATAAAACAAACCACACTCAGTTTTATTAAACAAAACCACAGGTTTACTAGATTCAGCAGTAGACATTTTTAAAGCTATTGTAACTATTAATAAAAGTTGGTTGTTTTAGAAACATTCTGATTCACAATTTCAGAGGAAGGAATAAAATCATAAAATATGGTCGTTTTGCATCATTCTTTTGAAAAACTGTAAAAATTTAAATCATTGAAAAAAACCATCTCAACAGTAACACAGGCAAAATGGCACATAATAATGTATTTATCATATATTTATGCTATTCAAACAAATGTAAAAATACAGGAAGGGCAGGCAACAGCAGTTCATTACAGATTGATGTAATAACCCAACACCTCACACAACTCACTAACATACTTCTAAAGCAAATATTGTAAGGCAATCTCTAGTTTTACATTTACAATAATTCAAAAAAATTTAAGAAACAATCTTATCATCCACTAAGTGAGCAGATAATGAACAAAAGCATGGACCTGGGCAATACAAGTCGTTAAATATATAACCATTATTAATTCTACAACAATTTTTTTTGTGAAAACAAGGTATTGTAACTTATACACTCTTATTGGTCCGTATGTAAAGTAAATGAGGGGTCACCGTGGGAGGAAACTGGAGTACATAGGGAAAAAACCAAGGCAGTCCGACACTGGTGACCTCCTACCTTTTCAGCTCCACTTCGGAAATTGAACCCTGAACGACTAGGTGAAATGTGAGTGCATCACAACTGCACCACCTGACCAACAAAAGGTGTTTTAAACATA